TTTATTGATACTTCTGTTTTTAAATGAGTAGTGTTTGGTTTTACCATAGATCTCTGGCCTATCTACTACTGGGCTATCTACTACTGTCTATGTATCCACTCTGGTTCTTGGTTCCCCAAGTGTTGGGTGTGTGGGTTCCTTCTCATTGAGTGGGTCTTAAGTAAAATCAGACGTTGGTTGGCTGCTCCCACAATTTCTATGTTACCATTGTCCTTGCATATTTTGCAGGCAGGACAGATTTTAGTTCAAAGGTATTGTGACTCTGTTGGTATCAATGTTTCCCTTCTATATACCTTTCACTTGCCAAAAAAAAAAAAAAACTAAAACATACAGACAAAGGCTTTATGTATGCAACAGCTCAAATTCTCCATGTGCGGTGAGTTGTGTGGAAGTTACATCGGCAATAGGGCCTGCTGTCAGTGTTTGAGAGCAGCCCTTTTTCTTAGCAGAAGCTAACACACACACACGCACACACACACACACACACACACACACACACACACACACCCTTTAAAAGTTTGTGTGTTTTCAGAAACAAAAGACCAGACACCAATGAAGACAAGCAGCCCAGGTGATCCATCATCAGAATATCTCTGTTACAGTTTCCTCAGAATTCCACATCCGGAACAACTTTAAAGCAAGTAGCCAAGATGGTCCAGCCTCATGCACTACTCCAGCCAGGACTTCAGATTAGCCCTGTACTTTCCCATTGCACAGAGACTGGACAACAAATGATACAGCTAGCTCTCCCAGGACTTGAGCATTATCTCAGTTTTCTCAGGGTTCCCTAGAGATGCTGTTGTTCTCAGACAACAGGAAGGAGTCTAGAGAACATGATACCCACATTCCTAAGAGTTGGAGTTGGTGGTTTTTCAGCATTCAGAGGATTATCGGTGTTTATCATTGTTTGGGGGGGTTGGTTGCAAGTTGTTGGTCATGGGCCGGGAGAAAGCAGAGCAAAGGAGATTACATATCTCTTTCTGAAAGGAAAAAGGGGGGTATAGTATAGAAATGGTAGGAGAAAGGGTAGATTATTGAATCTATGTGGCTGCCTGCACCACAACTAAGTCCGAGTATCGGGCAAAAGCTTGAAGATTTGGATGAACTACAAGACGCCTGGTTGGTTTTCAAAGAGAATGTCTCTCACCTTATTGTGGAGCAGCCTTATGTACAAACTTACAAAAACCCCAGGTGAAAGGGTTCACAACAGGATATTGATGCTAGTGGGGTGAGGTCAGGAAAACAAGAGGTACCTGTGGTTATGCTGGAAAACGACTCTTAGAAACCCGGTGTGGGCTGGGTCCCAACAATCTACTTTTAAACTAACAAGCAATAACTAGTCTTAAATATTTGATGTTGGTATGGATTTTTGTATATTGATATACATTTAAGGTTATTTTTATTATATTTTATATATATTTCTACTCTTATTTAAGATGTTGTTGTGTATTGATGCAAATTTAATATTTTTGATATACCACATATATGTTTCTACTCTTGTTTAAGGTATTGTACCCATGTAGCTCTTTTAAAAATGTAATGTATCATTAAGAAATGCAGGTTAGTAGTTAGTTATGCGTAATAATCAAACTTATAGTCATGTTAGGTATGTTTTCAAGGCTAAAAAGAGATATATTTTAGATAGGTGCTCTTCAAGCACTTCAGAGACCTACACAATATGGCATTTAAGATATTTAATAACATAAGGCTTTTCATGACCGTGAGATACATCTTCTCCTGGCAGCAACAATTTACTTCAAAAAGAATGATGGGCATCAAAGAACCTCCATATGGAGTTTGCATTTATTGTGGCAAAGTGAGCCACTGGAATAGAAACTGCTCTTGCCCTGACTTCTGACAGTATGCTGTTTGAACTGCAGAAGCAGGACACAAAAGAAGGTTATGGCTGAACTTTGACAAGACAAGGTAGGAGAGTCATTCAAAATTCCTTGTTCATACGATAGGCTGTCAGATATTCAAGGCCTGTAGGCAGACATGGAAACTCCAACGTTGCAGGGGAACCATGGGTGACCACCCAGGTAGCCAGATGTTTCTGTCATTTCATAGTTTTGGAAGTTGCTTGCTCTTGACTTCCTATTTACTCAGGTAATATTTTATCCTTTTTGGGTTTTTGAGAAGGTTAAAGACTTGATAGTTATAGTTACAGTTTTCCTTATTGCCAAATCCAGAGAAGAAACTTACATAAAAGAGGAAAAGTTTATAAAGTTAGGAAACATAAAAGCTTAAGTTGTTTATTTAAGATGATACTTATAGACGTAAAAAGATATTTTGAGGATGGTGTTACAAATAATGATAGAAAATGCTTACAGGGCTCATTCTCCCTGTAACCTCCAAAGGCATACCAACAATGACATCTTTCTTCCATCTAGGAGCCCACCTTTCAAAGTTTCTATAAACTAGCCAAACAACTCCAGTGTCAAGGGAAGATATTTGGACTCATATTTGGACTCACCAAGATCCGACATATAATGGAGTAATTTTTCCGAATTTGCCAAATACAAATGGGCTGGATATTATAAATGTAATTCTTTTTTAAAAAATATTTATTTACATATAGTGTTCTGCCTGTATGTATACCTACAGACCAGAAAAGGGCACCAGATCTCATTAGAGATGGTTGTGAGCCAACATATGGTTGCTGGGAATTGGACTCTGGACCTTTGAAGAATAGGCAGTGCTCTTAGCCACTGAGCTATCTTTATAGGCCCTATAAATGTCATTCTTACCTGATCATTTTCTTAATTTATGTAATTTAGAGTTAAAAACCTTCCTTTTTATTTAAACAAAAAGGAGGAAATGTTGTGGATATTTGTACACTGTGTGAAATGTGTTTGGTGTAATAAAGAGCTGAATGGCCAATAGCTAGGCAGGAGAGGATGGGTGGGATTTCCGGGGAGGGAGAGGAAGAGGAGGAGGAATCTAGGCACTTGTGTAGTTGTCCCGACCTGCAGGACAGCAACATAGAGCAACAAGTCCAGGGAGGGGAATGGGGACAAGAGATGTGAGAGAATGACCACAAGACTGGATTCTGATCAAGTGACAAATTTTATTTTTTCCAGGCTAGTTTATATAGTCAGTAGTATGGGGCAAAGGGGAGGGGGAGAAGAGGCCAAGAGCCAGGTGTTAGTTCAAGCAGGATGTTAGAAAACTATAGATGGAGGAGATTGGCAGGGTAAAAAGTTCATGGGTGGTGGGGACAGGGAGTGTTACCTAGGTGAGTGGTGGGTCACAGGAGGGTTGCTTAGGCCTATGGTTGGAACAAAGGATTGACGTCTGGGTCATGTTGTTCCTTCTGGGTGCTCATGCTTCTAGAAGCCATTTATAATCAAAAGACAGTTCTATAACCCTGTGGCTTGACAAGTTTGGACTAAAGAATCATGCCAAGCTGTATGGCTCCCAACACACTTGTCTTTTCCTGTAGACCCTGAAGAAGTCAGACATATGGTACAGAGATAACCAAGCCATGTGGCAGAATGTAGATTAAAAGAGACAGGTTAATTTTAAGTTATAAGAGTGGGTGGGACAAGTCTAAGCTAATGGCCAAGCTTTCATAATTAATAAAAAGTTTCATGGTTATTACTTGTGGGCTGGCAGTTCTGATAAGAAAGTAAAACTATATGTTTTACCATTCTGAAGGCAAAAGTTTTATCCCATGCTTTACTTAAAGATATTCAATTAATCCTATTGCAAACATTGATGTGGCCAGGTCCAGGTGGGGAATTTAACTTTTTTAATACAAGTAAAGAAAACAGAGCTGTTGTTCAAGAAACTTCCCTCTTCTGCCTGTTTTGGACCCAGAACCAGCTCCATTTTAACACAGTGTATAGGTTTTGTACCTGTGGCTATTGATTTTAGCTTAAGCATTTCCCTGGTTGTAACGATTTCTCAGTATGCCCTATGGGGCCTTCTTTGTTATGTCATAACTCAGTCACCAGTCATCACAGGAAAATCTGCCCAGCAACTCAGAGAATTTCTTCTGTACAAGTGCCATAGGATCCCATATACAGTAAACTCACTTTTTTTATTTTTAAGATTTTTATTTATTATGTGTATACATGGTTCTGCCTGCATGTGTGCCTGTAGGCCAGAAGAGGACACCAGATCTCATTGCACAAGGTTGTGAGCTGCCATGTGGTTGCTCTTAATTGAACTCAGGACTTATAGAAGATCAGGTAGTGCTCTTAACCACTGATGCTTCTCACTGCTCTTTTTAATTTTAGGAAATACTCTTCGGGAACAGCTATGGCCTCAGGCCAACTGTCCCCTTGGTCAACTTGCAAACCTTGCCACTGTCCTTGGAGACTGGGAAGCCATCCTTGTCTCCTTAGCTCTAGACACACCTTTTTCTTTGCACAGTTAACTCTGCCTATAACAAAAGCAGTCCTGCTAAATTAAATGTAGCTTATACACAGGGTAAATATTTTTAAAACAGCAACAACAGATGCAAGTTACAAACTTTCTTACTCCAAGAGGGAAGAACCAGGGCACAATCAAATCAAAGCAAAACCAAAAATCCAAATGTGATTTACTTAGTCTGTGAGATCTGTGACTCACCATCTTCCGGGCTCCAGTACGTTTGGCTGGGCAGCTCCACTTACGCAGTTCTGCCTTCCACAGCACGGGAAACTTCTCAAAGGCTTCTGTTTACACGTTGGACCACTGAGACACTTCCAGAAACCTTTTAAAATTTGCCCAGTGGTCCCATGGGGCTGTCTAATGTCCTCTGTGGGGGCTGCGGTGTGGTAAGCATACTGACCTGCCAGGGGACACACTGTATTGGGAAGGTGGCCTTTCCTGGACAAAGCTCATCCATTGTACTCAAGTTGTGTTAACTCCTTCGATTTCCACACATTTGAAAATCTTCACTGCATAATTTCTGTTAGTAGAGGACTATGCTCACACTCTCCACTGACATACATGAGGTTGCTAATGACAGCTTCAAAAATTTCATTTCCTTTCCTCTGGAAACCTAGAGGTTGTGTGTGTGTGTGTGTGTGTGTGTGTGTGTGTGTGTAGTTTAGTTAGTGGCTGTTTGTAACATAAAATATGTGTATATTCGTTGCTTTAATTTCCTTTACTTCTATTGGTTTATTTACACAACCTGGACCAGTCAGTGAAAAACAGTTAAGGGAGAAAAAAGTGGTGAGAGTATAGTGATAAGTTCTTCTCACAGAAATTACTTTCCATACTGAATACCAGACAGCAACAAGAACTGAACTCAGAACCATTGTGCAATGTTTGTTGTTTTTGTTTCTCCAGTGCTAAGTACTGAACTTATTGAAGTACTTAACTTATTGAAGATCCTTCAAAAACCTGACATACTGTTTTTCCCCCTCTGTCATGTGAGTAGTGGTCTATTTGTCAATTCTTCAGTTCTTAGAAATGACAAATTAATCCCTTGTAAGTGAGGAAGAAGACCTGTAAAATTTGAAGTCTGGAGTGTTTGTTTCTTAAAACCAGAGAGAGCACTTCCAGGCATGTTTGGTTTGAATGTCTTCCTTGGCTTCTGTGCTTTTCAACAGGCACCACACTTGATTCTAGTGTGCTGCCAGCACAGCACTTCTCAAAGGTGTTTTGAAATGCAATAGTTGAGTCACTGCAAACAAAAGAATGGGGAAACAGTTGCTAGGAAACAATTCCTCCCTCATTTTTTGTTTTCTCTCTAGACATATGCTGTTAACTTTTTGTTTTCTTTAAAATTCAACCAGCATCCTCCTAGATCTGCATTCTGGCTCTGGGAACAATCTTCTTTGTAGCCTTTTTTATTTTATTTTGTAAGGAAAATATGCTTAGGTGGCCACTGTAGGTTTCCTGTCCTGAGGCACTAATCCTTGCCTTTCTAGTACCCTGTCACTTTGTGGGGTTGGTGCTTGCCCAGTTCTTGCAGAGAGTCTGGTGAGTTTTGGGAAAGTTCAGCATGCTTGCAGATGTGCTATCCAGTCAGAAAGCAGTCACATTCCTGTAAAAAGATGCTATCACTTGTGTGCCTGTGTAAGTAGGGTAACTAGAGTGGTTCTGAACATATGTTTTTCGAGACAGTCTTCCTCTGTGTAGCTTTGGAGCCTTTCCTGGCACTTGCTTTGTAGACCAGGCTGGCCTCAAACTCACAGAGATTCGTCTGCCTCTGCCTCCCAAGTCCTGGGATTAATGGTGTTTGCCACCACTGCCTGGCATAGGTGCCAGGATGTCTAAATTCACATTTAATGTTTTATATACAATTTCATAAGCTGAATGACCTCGAACTAAAGGTTGCTTGGAATCTCTGTCCCCTTTATTTGCTCAGGCATCTTGGGGTTCACAAGTCTCTGTAGGCAGACTTTTCCATTCTTCCAACCACTTCCCAAATAATCACACAGAAACTTATTATTAATGAGAAATGCTCAGCTTATCTTAGGCCAGCTTCAATTAAGCCCATTTTTAATAATATATCTGCTGCCCAAAGACTCATCTATGAACTTCCCTTATTTTTTTTCGAGTGTGGCTTGAGACTCCCCAGACTCTGCCCTTCTCTCTTTGCCTTCTCTCTCTTTATTTTGTATTTTATGTATGAGTGCTCTATCTGCATTGCATGCTTGCAGGCCAGAAGAGGACATCAGACCCCATTATAGATGGCTGTGAGCTGCCATGTGGCTGCTGGGAATTGAACTCAGGTCCTCTGGAAGAGCAGCCAGTGATCTTAACCACTGAGCCATATCTCCAGCCCTCAGGCTATGCCCTTCCTCCCAGCATTGTCTCTGTCTTGAAATATCTTGCCTAGCTATCAGTCAACCGGCTTTTTACTAACAATGAGAGCAACACATTTTCACAATGCAAAGGAGGATTATCCCATAGAATTTCCCCCTTTTGTCTATATAATAAGGAAGGTTTTAACTTTAACATAGTAAAATTGCATACAACAGAAGAATTACAGCAACAATATCCAGTCCATTAGAGGAAATATTCTATTATATATCTTATCTTTGTGAGTTCAAAGTTTTACATCTAATTTACCTTTTGTCATAACTAAAGGAAGCTTTAACTCTAATTATTTAGTGTTTAACTCCCTCAAAGGCCCCTACCTAATGACAGGGACATCTGACTGCCTGTGCAGTCTCTCAGTTTTCTGTAATATTGTGGCACTCAGTTGTGGCCTACAGACCCAGTATATCTGATAGACATTTCTGAAAATCAGTGAGTTTTGAAGGAATGTCCTACCCGCTCTTGGCAAAGGTTGGCAGTCGCTTTTTTGTGTCATGCTTCTCTAGTTTGGACAATATACTGTCAGCAATCAAGGAAAAGGCAATTTCTTTGCCCAAATGCCTAGCATTTGCCAGAAAGAATGCAAACTCCACAGGGACTTTCTTTGATGCCCCTCATCATCTTTTGAAGTCAATGCATGCTGTCAAGAGCAGACATGCCTCACTGTCAAAAAGGCCTTATGTTATTAAAGTATTTTGAATTCCATATATTGTGGGTCTTTGAAGTATTTGAAGATCATCTATCTACCCAAATATATCTGTTTAACCTTGAAGACATACCTAATATGACTACAGTTTCATTATTACAGATGACTATTACCTGTATTTATTAATTATAAATTACATTTTAAAATGAGCTATGTAATCACGATACTGAAAACAAAAGTAGAAACAAGCCAGGTATGGGTAGTGCACCAGGCACTCAGAAGGCAGAGTCAGGCTGATCTTTGTGAGTTCGAGGACAACCTGATCTACACAGTGAGTTTCAGGACAGACAAGGCTGTTATACAGGGAACCCCTGTCTCCCAAAACAAAAACAAAAAAAAGTAGAAAAATATATGCCATGTAACAAATTAATTTAAATTTGTATCAATAAATCAATATCTATTCCAAAGTCAATATTCAAAGATTAGTAGTTTTTTTGGATTAAAGTAGATTCAATAATCTATCCTCTCAGCTCATCATTTCTAAACCATATCCCCCTTTTTCATTTAGAAAGAGATCTTTAAATTTAACTCGTTTAAATTACAACTTGTAACCAACCTCCTAAAGAATGACAAACAAAACTTTGAATCATGAAAACGGAACCATACCCCATATCTTGAGAATGTGGGTGTTTTCTTGCCTAATTATGGGAGAAGTCCTTCTGTGTATATGTTTCTCTTCTTGGTTGATGAATAAAACATTGTTGGCTGATGTGGCAGGAAAATAGATGGGATTAGGAGAAGAGAATTCTGGGAAAGGAGGGCAGACAGAGCCCTCCACGGGGTCCATAAACAGTTCTGTCTCTTCTACAATAAGATAAGACCACATGGAAATATTTAGATTAAGAGAAATGAGTTAATAATTAAGAGAGATCTAACCAGTACGAGACCCTAGCCACCAGCCAACAGATATATAATTAATATGAGTCTTCATGTGCTTATTTGGGGCTGAGAAGGGTGGTGGGAACAGGCTGGAAAAAGA